TTCTCTAAATAAATTGGAGAAATTTTATCAAACTATTCGGATCAAACTATCTTTGTTTAACGAACAAAACATCAACCTGTACCAACTAGAAGCCATGAACTCAGATGCTAGAATATCGTGCTGATAACGTGCTATGAAATTAACCAACAAAGAAAGTATATTGGAGAAGAGATGTAGACAAGAAAATGAGAGAATAATATTGTATTTCTTCATTTGCTTCACTTGCATCACAATACAACGACATACCCTATTTATAGGCATAGTCTTATATATAAGTTACACTATTACTTAAATAATAGATAGTGAACAATAAACCACATGAATGTGAAGTGGGGTTAAGTTACAAGATTAAAGACATAATGGAATAGTAGAAGATTAATGCTTAATAGAAGTAGTGGGAGTTGATGAAGTTAAAGAAGAAGAGAAGATATACATCCACATTTGATAATATTCATAACAAACTCTAGGCTAATTTATACAAACAATTAATTGTGCAATCATTTCTCACGTCACCCAATTTCCTAAATATTTCCAATTAAAATGACACAAGTGAACTCAAATCACAAAACACTATCCTCAACACATACCTGCTCTATTTAGTTCTAAATATAAAAAACCAATTCAATAATTTATTTTGGTTCTAAATATGAAATTTCAATTCACTTCTTCTAAATTTATAATTGTTTTCCTCAAACTACCACTATAAATTGCATCTACTACTAAACGTTGGTTTCGATCTATATGGGGTAATTTTCAATGCAAATGACCAAATAAAATATTTTAAGTAAATCGATACATCCTTTTTATGTATGAAGGGAGGATTATATTTTTATGGGTTTCATTATGGATTCTTTTTAATTTTTTGCCAACTGTTCGTTTGGGCTTTTTATGTATCGCTACTCTGCTTTTGCTTTTTGATCTCGCTATTGATCCAATTTTTTCAAATAAAAATTCAATTAATTTATTTAATAAAAAAAATGATAAACAACACGTACAAAATCACTGATTGATCTTGGATGAGGATCAAGCTAGAGGCTTAAAGTCTAAAAATACAAGCACATTACAACAACGTAACATAGATACTAACTAAATACTACTTCCGTTTTTTAATATAAAATTTTGTTTGATTTTTATTTTGATCTTAAATATAAGATCTCAATTTATTTTATCTATCATATTTATCTACTTTTTTCTAAGGTAGTTCTTTTAATAATACTAGTTCTAACTAACACATTTGATTAGTAAGGATATTTTAAGAAAGACAACCCTTATCTATTATAAATAACTAACTTAACTTATTTTCTTAATTTACTTAAATTAGTCAACTAACTCTTATATTTATGATTAAAGGTAGTAACATCTTAAACTGATCAAACAAGAAGAAAGATGGTCAACGCTTTAATGACCAGTCAAAACTTGACCAAAGCTTGAGCCTTGAGTCACATTTTTAACCGGGCACAATACTATCTAGATACTGCTCAAAGTCTCAAAGAACAGGAGTCAATACTACCGGGCCATAGTGATTAAAAAAAGATATGAGAGGAGGCTATCACCGAGCACCAGTTTTTAAGCTATTGATCCAATTTAGAGATGAATATTTGTCTGGTGATATTTTGGAGATTTGTAGCATTTTCAAGGTTTAGTTCAGATCACGGTTTTGGGCTCATGGAAATTCTTAACAAGTATCAGATGTTGCTAATTTTTTCTTATTCTTGGCGTCAATTTTTTTCCTCGTACTTTGGTTAAGGATGCCTTGGCAACGCACAAGGCGGTTGTAAATGAATTATACGGATCATGTAAGGTTTGTTTTGATCTTAACCATAAAATTTTAATTTAATTTATTCTTTAAATTTATAATTTTTAAAAATCATTCCTATTGATTGACAGTAGAGAAGGCTCTTATAATAAAAATAAAAGAACACATTTTTTTTAATTTGCGTTTCAGTAATAATTAATGGTATTTTATGCTTTCAGAACATGGGGTTGCATCTTAGAAATTGAAAATAAAATCAGTGAAAATATATAAGATGAAATTTGCCTAAGTCCATTCATGCAAAACACTAAACTCACTTAAAATTTTTTTGCCTATTTTAAGCTAGGTCTAAATTGTAATTATAAAATAATGGAGAAAATACCAAAATACCTTTCCTTTCTACTTCTTTTCCTTCCCCTCTTTCCTCCTTCCCTTCGTCTCCCTTTCTTCCTCCTTCTCTTTCCTCTTCCTCTCCCTCTCCCTCCTCTTCTTTTTCCTTCTTCCCCAACCCACCTTCTTCATCTCCACCCCCATCTCTCCCTATCCCACTTCTTTGTTCCCACCCCCTTCCCACTTCATGTCTTCATCTCTGTCAAATTTCTAATGATATGAGAACACTCTATGGTGGGGATTTTCTCTTGAATTGACCTCTTCTATTTCTCTCACCTGCTCGTGGCATTGTGGACATTAAACGGGCAACTATGGAGATGCCGCACTACCCTATGGACCAAAAAGTAGTGGCGAAGAGTGTGCCATCTTTTGTTGCTAACTTCATAGTATTTTTCAAACTTGATTTTCTACTAGTCCTTCGAATTTGAATGGCTAATTACAGAAACTAGTTGCGGTTAAAGTACATCTGATTTTTTATTATTTGGTTTATTATTGTTGTAATTTTGCTTGGTAGTATTGTAATAAAAGATTTGTTACTATGATGGTAATAATATGATATGATGATATGGAAATGTTGGTCTTTTCTTTATGAGCAGAACAATATTAACATTTTGTATTTATCAGTTCTAAATGGTAACAATGTATATCTGTTTAGTATTCTAAAGTTAATGAGAAACCTAGTTACAGACTTGTTATTTTGCTTACCAAATTTATTATTCGGCTTACAACTTTTGTCATTTGATAGTGAAAACTGGAAATAATGGCAACTTTCTATGAAACTTAATTTTATTAAAAACCCAATCACATGCTTGTAATTTCATTTACTAAACTTGTTATTTCACTCACCGTTTTTATCATTAGGTTTACCGCTCTTGTCATTTAACAGTAAATTGTGAAAATAATGACAATTTTTCATAAAATTTAATTTCATGAGAAACCTTATCATAGAATTGTTATTTCACTTACCACTCTTGTCATTTGACTTACCAATCTTGTCATTTGATAATGAAATATGGATATAATGGTAACTTTTAATTAAACTTAATTTTATGAGAAATCCAATTACATAATTGTTATTTGATTTACCACTTTTGTCATTTGGCTTACCGCTTTTCTAATTTGACAATGAAATATGGAAATAATGACAATTTTTTATTAAACTTAATTTTATGAAATCCCAATTACAAAATTGTTATTTAGCTTACTACTCTTATCTTTTGGCTTACCGCTATTATCATTTGATAGTGAAATACGAAAACAATGTCCACTTTTCATGAAACTTTATTATATGAGAAACCAAATCGCAGAATTGTTATTTAACTTAACACTCTTGTCATTTAACTTACCGCTGTTATCATTTGATAATGAAATATGAAAATGATGATGATTTTTTAATTAGACTTAATTTCATGAGAATTCCAATCACAAAATTGTTATTCGGCTTATTACTCTTGTGATTTGGCTTACTGCTATTGTCATTTGACAATAAAGTGTGGAAATAATGGCAACTTCTCATGAAACTTAATTTTATTAGAAACACAGTCACAACCTTGTAATTTCGCTTACTAACCTTGTTATTTGGCTTACTACTCTTGTCATTTAACAGTAAAATATAAAAATAATAGTAAATAATAAGTTAAATATATTAGATAACAACTTAACTATTCCAAACAACAAGTTGAGTTTAACAAATGACAACATAAATATTACATATAACAAATACATCAAATAAAAAATCTTCATTGACAAATAATAACATTCTTATAGCCGATAACAAAATACCAGCATTGCCACAATTCCGTCCACTATGACCAATGACGTAGTCTGTAGATGATCATCAATCATTTGAGCTATTCAATGGGCCCTAGCTGTTAATAAACTATATTGGCAACAAGAGTATAGACCCGATCTCTTAATGAACTCCATTGGCAACAAGACTACCTCAGTCAAGATCTTGAACTTGCTCGTTCATTAACATGGCTCATCAGGAGGTATGGCATATTATACTTGAAGCCACGCATGATATAATGCAGCTATTCGGATGGACTTGAAAAGTTCTTTTTGTTTCACAAAACAAACAAACAACTTCCTATTCGAAAGAGTTATTAAACTGCCTTCTGATTTCATTATTTTCGATCATAATCATTATACCAGAAAGCATTTTGGAAGAAGCAACTCAAATCAAATACGAATGCATCATACAAGTATACAATAAAAACCCACTCCTGTACGACTATCACATTTTGTTTCTTCACATAGTGGTCTCAAGATTGCTTAGAACCTGGTTTTGGAGAAGAGGGAGGCCGTTCACCTGGTTTTGAATCTTCTTCATAGCTCAGATTGACGAGCTAGAGGGAGGAAAGATAGGGGACTGGATAAGTTGTGACAGGGAGAAAGTGAAGAGCTGAGTTCAATTGCTTTTCAGAGGAGAGGAAGAAAAGGAGGAGAAAGAAGGGGAGGATGAGGGTTGGTTTTTTAATAGATGAGGGTATTTTGGTCTTTTGGTTATCATTTCATAATTGTAATTTAAGATTCCGTCTCTATATAAATTTTATTTATTCAAGTATTCATTTTGTTATTTCATATTTTTAAGGGTTTTTTTTAATGACCAAAAAGAAAAATTGACCGTTGCTGCAGGTCCTCCAACAATCGGACCAGGCGGCCGCTGGCTGGCCTTGGTCAAGGGCATTTATGTCCACATATTTTTACCAGTTTTAATTTCATCCAAGTGTGGTCTTTTCCGGAATGTCGGAAAACAAGGGTTCATCAATGTAATTAAAGACTAACAGGGTCCGTAAATGTCATTTTCCCACAATAATAAAGAATGATTAGACGTAAGAAAGAACAGATAAAATCATAATGCGGACCGTTCACTTCTGTTGGGAGGGTCGAGACGAGAAATCGGAATTGGATGAACAATTAGCCATATTACTCAAATTGGCTTGCTAGTTGCATTCTTGCCATGGATTCTCTTTCAAAGATTGGATGCCTAACCTTTTACCGTACTGTTCAGCTCCCAAGAATTCCCGTCCGAAGTGCGTCTTTCTCCAGGAGTAGTTCACTGGTTTCAGTTTCAAGAGCTGGTCCTTCTTCAGGTTGGCATTTCTCTTTGTTTTTCTTTTCTTCGGTTGCAATGCGAGTGGCCTATCAGTTTTTGAACCTTAAATTTCATGTGCTCGTCAGGTTTTTATATAGTGCTAGTGAGAAAGCTGAAACTTTACTTGATGGGGAAAGGGATGGGGGGAAGGTTAGACATCGAAAATTTCATATTAACTCCAGAATTGAACTGTGTTACGAAATATTTCCCCTTCTTTTGTTTAATTAGATATTCTTAAGATTCTCATGCACCTGGGATGAAGGTAGAATATCAATAAAACGAACCTATCATTCAACAACCTTCACATCACGGGGCTTACTCTTATTTGTAGTAGACCATGATTATGGTCTGCAGAACCCATGTCAGTTAGTTATTCATAATTGCCGGTAACTCTGTCATTCTGACTAACTAATAAACTCGTAATGTTAACTGCTAAAATACTACTAATTACCAGAACAGCTTATGATTCTTGCTCAAGAGTGGCGGTGTTGTTGGGAGAAACGTAATCTCAAGTTACAATTAACTTTCTTGTGTTAGTGAAACAACTTAAAATTGCTTGTGTCGTTGAAATTTTGATCTTTTGAAGTAATGAAAGGGATGCTTCGCAAATTGGTTTCTGTTATTTGTCAAACATCTGAATCACATTATACCTTGCATCAATTGCAGCGTCTATTCTTCCATAATAGTTTTTGTCCTTTCAGCATATGAATAGTTGCCAGCAGTCTCCTTTCATGCCTGCCTCTTCCTCCTTATGCTAAATGCTAATAGTTTGATTTTCTTTATTTTTAGTGAGTGATGTGGACGAAGATGTATTACAAATTTTTTTCAAAGAGAGAGAATCGAACGGTGATTTTATATCAAGAGCTTCTGATTTATTGTGGCAAAGGAAGTTCAGAAGTTCTATTGACTCTAATAGCAGTGAGCAAACCAACAATTCTCAAGAAACCGAGCAGGTACAGTAGACTCCTGTTACTTAATTTCTGTCCTGAAGTTAATTTATTTCTGATTTCAATGTTGCTTTGTCCTTGTCAAATTTCAAAATGCTAATTAATGTTACAAATTCTATTAAGTGTTCTTGTCTCAACAATTATTTGCCCCTCATTTGATCCAACTGAAAGTGTACTTGTGTATGCTTTGACCAATCAAGCTATTCAATTACATATTTAGAGTTTCTAATATATGTAGATAATGGAGGGTGATGATGATGATGGCTTTTTGAAGCTCTCAAGAACCCAAGAGTGGATCTTAGGCGACAATACTGCACCAATGAATAAAAAGGCAGTTGCCAAGGTATGGTTATACTTGTTCATTTTTAAATGTTGGGAATTTTTATTTTACTTACATATTTATTTATTTTTTAATGAACTTCCGTTGTTGATTAATAGATGGAGGGAAATTGGCTGTCAAAATGTTATGTTGCAATAATTGAATCAGTTTTTTGTTTTCATTTTTTAAAATTTAAGTTCAGATCTCCTTAGCCTAAGAAAAAGACAATGTTTGACATTTTCCGTTGTACATTGACAGGCACTGCAGGAGAGCAGTGAAAGACGGAAGAAACTAAACATTCTTCAATACGAATCTGTATGACACTTGAACTCAGTATGTTATTTTTTAGCTTTAGTTAGTAAAATCAGTGTTTTCACTTATCACACCCCAAGTCTTGCAGGCTTTAATTTATTATAATTGTTCAGTGAGACTCAGGAAGGGAGAAAATCTTACTTGTTCATGTTTGTGTAAAATGCTGAATCTTTATTGTTTTCATTATAGCTCAAGAGGGAAATACTGCTTCTATCTTTGGGCATTGGAGTGGCATGTAGTGGATATTGCTTGGTAACTTTGTCTGTACAGGTTAGTGTTTTATTATCCTAGTGTGGCATGTTTCATCAGCCTAGATGCCTAATATAGAATGCAAAAACAATAGCAAACTACGTCTATTACTTGGTTGTGTTTTATTAGGTCACAATAAGATTGATTATAAATGGACTCCAGGCTCCATGTTGGAGGTTTCAAACCATTTCTTCTTAAAAATCAGCCTTTTGGAGCATGTCGTGTTTGGCTGATATGATGATCTTTCCATTGAATGTGCAGGCTGCTGTAAGTTATGCCATTGGAGTCCTTTGCAGGTTTGTTGTTGAATTTTAGTAGGTTAAAATTGTCTTATCAAAGCTGCGGTTGATGAGCTAAAGCAGTCAGCCTTGAACTTGAAAATGCTTCTAAAGAATTGGGCTTGCCTCATAGAAAACTCTTGAGAGTTGGACCTTCTTCTATCCTTCTGAAAAACGAAGCCAATTGTTTTTGGCTGTTTGTACCTTTTGGCTTGTCCTTCCAGATCTTGTTGTTTTTCCCATCTGAGATCACAAAAAAAAGCTGTTAAAATCTTTTGCGGTCAAGAAAAAGTAACTTGTCCAAATGGATTGGCTGGTTAATATTATCATCATGATTGTTGCCCTTTCTCAGGTAATGGAAGGTGGTTCTTTGTGGTTCTGCCTCCTCGGAATTGATCCAGAAGGAAGGATAATATACTGAGACTGTGACCATGTGTGTGAGATAGACAGAGAGAGAATAAATGAAACTAAGAAACTACCTACTGCTGCTGCTTATAATGGCATTTGACTGCTATCATTTTCAATGCAGTTGCTTGTACCTTCAGCTCTTGTATCGACATGCAGACAACCTATCCAGTGAAGATGTTCCTCAAATTTTCATGAAAAAGAAGTCAAAGAAGTAAAACTGGAAACTTTCCTTTGATTTAGTTATGCTATTTAAACATCGTATGATGTTGGCATTCATTAAGCCCTTTATTTTGATTAAATAAGCGTTTTCATTGTAACCAGAATTGGCATAAGAAGTGAGGACCTCCAGGATTCATTGGAGAGATCAATCAAGGGAATTGGCATTTCGCTTTCATCTCCAAGACTTGTGATCCCAGCAGCAATTTTTGGACTTTGGGTTCTGTCTCATCAGTATATCGCGGATGACTTCTTTGATTTTCAGGTAAACTTTGGAAATATGGTACTGAGGTGTTCTTCTGAAGTCAGAACACATTGGCCGTGGTATTTGGTCAGTTATAATAAATAAATTTTCTTTTTCAATCTAGATTGTGCCAGCCATTTTTGGGATGCTGGTCTACAAGGCTGCTGTTCTTGTGCAAGTCTATAGAGACAATGAAGACCTACAATTTGTATTTCCAGAAAATAAGGAAGGCTCAAGTGATTGAAATACAAGTTTTGCTGTTGCTCAGTACAATAGTTTACATTCATCATTTTTGAATCTTCCACAAGCTGAGCCGCATCTAGAACTCGTCTTGTAAATGCCTTGTAACAATATTCATGGTGATAAGATTTTATTCACTTCTTTGTGTGCATCTCAAATTCGTGAGATAATAGAGCTTGCAGCTAACCCTTCTCATTTTCATATTATGCATGGCTTCCTTTTCATGTGAGGCTAAGAACATGATTACTCTATTGTTTCCCCCTTACTGTAGCGTTGTCATGTCTTTCTGACCATGGTGTAACTGTAACTTTTTGAGGTTGCAACGTGTTATGGTACCCTGTTTATGATCATTAATTGTGCGTTGTTAACTGATGTTAAGAAGAATGATGCCTGGTCAACCTGCTGTTTGAACTTGACGGGCGAGTATAAATGTACAAATAGAGCTTTTTTTGTTTGAATCAAATCTTGTAAAGTTAGTCAGGTCAAGTAAGATGGATTTTTATGACTTCATTCATTGTTCTCCATGCGCTATATAGCACATGGAATTATTGATTGTATCATTGCTACTATATCTTGCTCCTCTGAATACTATCTGTTTTATTTGGTTGGATTATGTTTCTATTTGTTGATTTTACGGTTGCTAATTTTCTTTTCTTTTCTTTCTTTTTTTGGTTAAAAGGGGCGGGATCAAACCCGCAACACACACACCCCACACACACACACAACACTTGGCCAAACGGCCAGTGGTAATTTTCTTTTCTTTCAATGCTGATTTTTTTAATGCATTTCTTTGCTTCAATTGCTGATGCAAGCTTGTTGCTTCAGCTTCAGAACCAAAGAAAGTTGCATCTCCGATCACTATAATTGTACAGGTTACTTGGCCTTTTCAATATGGTTACTAGTCAGTGATTTGAACCATTAAGAGACATTGCAATAATACATGGTTGGTACTCTTGGCTTCTCAAGTTTGAGTGTCAAAAGTAACCCTACAATAGTTTTAGAATCTTCGAGTTTCTCTGGAATAACACACACATTTCTGATCTGATTCGATTGAGGATATATTCATGAAACAATAATTATTTGTATAGTATTGATAGCTCACACAAAACTGCAAAGTACAAACACTTTAATGAATCCCCTTCCTTTTATCTTTATTTTGGCTATTGGGAAAAATCAGGATCATAAGTGCAACTACTGTTCTATATCCTTTTTTATGGTTGCAGGGTTGGTTGGTGGTATGGAAGATGGACGATGATGCCGATCAGCGACCCACTATTGCTATAGTGGCATCAAATGAAACCTTTGCGGCTGATCCTGTATGTAGTTTTACTAGCTGCGCCTACATGATCACCTTGTATGTTATTTATGATTGTCTTAAAATATCTGTCGTTGTAGGCATTATCAGTGGGAAGTGTCAAAATAACTGTTTTTTAAGTTACATAGTATTTTTTCGCTCACCATCTTTTAGAGACCAATGATATTTTACTTTTTAAATTTTAGTTTACTGGTATTAAGCTTTCTATTACAAAATCAAGTTTTATCACTAACCCGGCAGCATTTTGTGTACCTTTTCCTTTCTTTTTTTCGTTTTGGGCTATGGACGATGGAACAGCATTTATATATACAATGCGCTTATTAGGATGTGCTTCATTAGTTGAGTAGGGTTAGTCGAAGCTGGAAAGAAAGAGGCAGGGAAAAAAAAAAAAAAAGGGTTGCAAGGCTACGATGGATTCCATGTTCAGCCATCTAACCACGTGAACCAGTCTCAACTAATATGGAGGAATTGAAATGAAAGAAACTAAAATAAACAAAAAGCTTAGAACTCTTTGGAGAATTACTTTGACCGCTAGCTATTGTTAGTTTTGCTTCAATATATGACAACCATTAGGCGGATGACAGCTTGCTATTGTTAGTTTTGCTCAAGTCTTCTTCAACTCAGCACTCTGCAATTTCATCATCCACTTCGTAATACTTGGGAGTTCTCACCTTAGTTTTATAGTTTTTTTTTTTTGGGGGGGGGGGGGGGGGCGCTGTTGAATTCTTTGGGGAAATGGTGGTAAGATAATTACCTAGGGAGACACACACACACACAAAATTATCAGTAGGGCAAATTACTAGTTATTGGCAATCAAGATGGAGAGTAGAAGCTTTCTTTTTTGGGACCTTAGGTTCCGTTTGGTATGAAGCATTGAAAATGAGGGATTGAGATTGAGATTGCAATTAAAAAAAATAATTAAAATAATATTTAGCATGAGTAATCGCTTATTATATGGGATTAAGTAAACCTATAAAGGTGAGATTGAAGAATGCCACTTCCCCCCATGGTATTCTCTAATCCCACATACATGAGTCTGGCTAATCCCATATAACAAGTAATCTTTTATACTAAACACCTTTTTAATAGATTTTCTTAATTGTAATCTCAATCCTAATCCCTCGTTTTCAATACCTTCTACCAAAGGCAACCTTAGTCTCATCTTAACGGAGTTAAATAATATAAAGATGGTTGTTGATTTGGAAAAAAGTTACACGTCATTTGTTGATTAGATAACTGCACAATAAGGATATGAGCGACTGCATGTAATCTTTGTCTATGGAAGAAAGAAATACGCATAACCTTACTAGGTTATCATAAGGAGTTTTGAACAATTCAAGCATATAGATGATGAAACAGGCTGCTAATCCTTGTCACCAATGGTATCATTATGCCGCCACACTCAAGAAGCCAAGAATGGGTTAAGCACTGCTCCGATGAAGTACACTGCCATGGAAGTCTCTTCCCATATCATGAACATGAAGGGATGGTCAGCCACAAAGCTTGGAATAGGCCATCTGGCACATTCAAGTTGAGCAACAGCAACTGTGCTTGCCGCAGCTTCTGTTCCTTCTTCATTGCCTTCAACAACTGCCTTTTGCAGAATATTTGAAACATAAAGTTCATGACTGGAAGAAGAATCTGATACTTCTGTTAGCTCTCTAGGAGTGAAGGGCAAAGTTAGTCCTAATTCTTTCATACCCTCTGTGGCTTCCAAGTTGAAGGAAAATTTAAATCTTGGGATCCAAAATTCAGGAATATCCTCTCTCCAGATTTCAAATTTTTGGTTTAAAAATGTGGGGTTTGAGTTTAAAGTGTGAATTAGATTTGGTAAGCCCTCCTTCTTATGTGGAAGAAAGAAATGCATGGCAAATTTCAAAGGATTGCTGCCGCTTTGGAAAGGAATGGTGAGTACTTTATAATTCTCGAAAGATCTGGTCATGGTTGGATGAAACTTTTGATCCCATGCTCCTTTGAAACATGGAGCATTCATTGGCAAAAACTAGCTTTGTGTCTTGATCTAAGGAACCTGATAGAAGAATCTCCCGTATAAGTCCAGTTGCATTTTCAACCCATGAGTTGACTTCCTGTGTAACTTCCTCAGTCTAGTGAACAAAATCTATAGAATCAGTCAAATTAAAAGAGAAAAAACATATAAAAAGTTTCTGTCAAATAGGAAAACAAAAGAGATTGCAGGTGAAGAACATAAAGATGAATCGAAGAGTACCTTCTTTATGAAGTCAACCACTTCAATTTGGCTTTGTAATCATTTTTGACCATCTCTTCAAAAATAGTTGATATGTGATAAGTCCTATAGAGGGTACTACGGTAAATAATACTGGTTCAGGGGTGCACTACCTGAGAGTTAGTTAGAAGAGAGAGAGTGTGATTGATGATGTGGCCAGGGAAAAGGGGTTATATGCTGTACCTATCGTTATTTCCAATTTTTCGAATGAATGTACTCTGTCATTTTCTCTCTTTCTGGTAACATTAAGGTATCAGAGCCTCTGTCCGGCCAATGGCGCCACCGTCGGACACTCGATCTTCTGAGCGCATTGGGGATTTAGAACACCGCTTAGAGCTGCACCAAGCTTCCATCGCCTCTGTTACGACTCGTCTGGAGCAGAACTCTCAATCGATCGATGATCTTCGTCTCACCACTTCTCACCTGGAGCAGTCGACATCCCGCCTTGAAGACCTCATCAAGGAGATGTCCACCAAGATTTCATCCATTTGTCCCTCTAGTAGGCAACTCCTGCCCGAACCTAGTGGTCTTTACAAAGGTTCTTACTCTGCTACTCCTCCTCGTGTTCCTCACTTCGGGTCTTTTCATGAACTGCACACATCTGCTTCTTCCTACTCGGTTCTGACCAAACAGAGCCGTGTCGAGTTCCCGAAGTTTGACGGCACTGATTTCCGAGGGTGGGCATACCGCTGCCTTCAGTTCTTTGAAGTCGACGCTACACCTCTTGAACACCGCGTTCGCCTTCTGAGCATCCACCGGGAGGGCCATGCTTTGCGTTGGCACCAAACCTTCATGCGTCACCGCTCTTTCTCTGAGGTTCGTTGGGATGATTATTTCAAGCAGATGGAACTCAAGTTCACTGATGTCCGTGATGAGCATCCTCTCATTGCTATTAAGAAACTCCAATAGGCCGATGATCTTGTCGCTGACTATGAGAAGAAGTTTGATGAGTTGTTATCTGAAATTGATATACCTGAGGATATTGCGGTCAAATTATTCATTGGGGGATTGCGACCCGATATCCACCAGTTGGTCCTCAACTCTGAGCCATCAACTTTGGCCGGAGCGATGAGTTCCGCTCATCTCCAGGAAGCAACCGTTCGTGCCTTACACGAGAACGCCCCAAATCGCGATCGCATATTCTCTTCTATAACGGTAGGGTCAGCGGCGCGCCATAGTGTAGCTGGGTCTCGGACTCCTCCTGTGTTGGGCTCAGCGACAGGCCCATTACCGACCCAGTTGTCCTCCAAACCCAACTCTACTGTCTTGCTTTCAGCTTCCTCTCTGATGCAGTCCCCTGCGAAGCCCACCAAGCAGCTCTCAAAGAAGGAAATGGATGAGAGGCGACGTAAAGGGTTGTGCTATTGGTGCCCTGAACGTTATACGAGTACTCACTGCTGCAAGGACTCTCATGTGTTCACACTGATTATTGATGAAGATGAGGACCATTTTGAAGACGCTATTGGTGATGCTCAAGGTGAAGCCGATGGGACGATTAACGCCATTGAGGGCCGAGAAAACACATCCACTATGAAGTTATTGGGTCGCATAAAGAATCAACAGATCATTCTTCTCATTGACACTGGTAGCACCCATAATATCATCGATGCGACTGTCGCCAAAAGGCTTAAATTGGGAGTTCAAGAACGGTCACCGGTCAGACTTACGGTAGCCGATTCTCGTCAGGTTTGCCTTACTAAGCACTGTACC